TTTAAGAATAAACTTTAGTACTTTAGTAGTAGCATCTCCATTTAGATGATGGAATTCGGAAGGGACAGATTCGTTTCTCATATCTGATGGACGGTGACTTCTGAGTAACTAAATGAAAAAGAAAAAGAAAATTAAAGCTCAATTGCTTAAATATATTTTTATGTAATTTAAATTAATTTTTCACTTAATATAAATAAACGTTAGAATTTTTTTCCGATTAGTTCTATTATATCTTACAGTTTGGGGAAGAAGCAAATGAAATTGTTTAAAATAGAGAAAAGAAATTATTTTTCATTCCGCTTGCACTTACCCCACGTTTAGTACACTTGAGGAATGCTGTAAAAATGCCATCATGCGACCTATAAGTTCTTGGTGTCCCCATTCTTTGCAACTCTGCATTCAGTTGCAAAACTCAGGACGCATATGCGTTTGGTGTTAGTTCCTACAAGAGAGAAATGAAACAAGATCACCCAAGGACATTACTTGCTGCAGCTGTGTTACCATCAACCACTTGCCCCACCACTGCCTTCAATTTTATTTTTCTTTTTTTGTTAACTCTCCTAGACTAGTGCCTCATCATTCACAGACATAAACATGCAGAAACTAAAGAAAGAAAAATAAAAAGGTTATAATCCTACAGACTTTTTAGTTTAAATCCCGAAAGATCGCAGAAAATTAGCAATTTTTTTTTATTTTAATCTGTAGCAACCCGTTTTGTCGAAGAGTCACTTGAAAAGTAACCTTATAGAACAGAGTCCACTAAAGAGCGATATCAGTGAAGTAGTAGGCGTTTGAAAAAGTAAAGGGATAAAACTTATGTAGGCTAGGACACGACACGATCTAAAGAGAATGATTAATCGGCTCGATCACCTAAAAATGCCTTAATCCGCCTTAATTAGAAGGTCCGAGTGAATTTTATATCTTGTAACTGAAGTGCTCCAAATTGTGCCACAAGCGAGCAAAGAACACGCTTAGTGATAAACATCACATCATAAACAATAAAGAGTTCAACTTATTCAAAATAATTCAATAAAAGAATTTCCATTCTATTAAACTAATCCTCACAACAATAGAATTAATAGAGATGATCGTTAATAACCTATAATATAATCGATGAGGTCAAAGATCGTATTAAAACGTGACTCGGCATTCCGCTTTACTCTACTTAGACTGCTTTGCACGAGGTCACACTATTACAGTCCCACATTTTGTTCCTGTTTTTAATGGAAGGACATTATTCTGTGGGCGTTTAGGGGGGGTGTCTGTCCGGGCATTTGGCCTGAAAAATTCTATATTCGTAAAGCGAAGTGAATTTTATCCGACTACGCTTTTTCTAATATAGAACGAAATTTTTCCTTTCGGTTTGTAGTATTTAATGTCTCAAAAAAGCTGAATTTTCATTGCATTTCCTTCCGGCATTTTAATTAATTATATTTTTCACACTTTTATTGATTTTAATGTATATTTCCTTCCTTAAATCAATTTTACTCATGCGTGCAAACTTTGTCATCTTGACCAGAAAAAAATCTTTTCATTCAAAGAATTTGTTTAGAAATATTTATCTTACATTTTCTACACTTATAGAACTGTTTATTATTATAATAAACTCGATTAAGATTATAGAAGAACAATCATAAATATAATAACTTGGCTGTGGCAGAAGTAACCCAATTGTCTACTGATCCGTTCGATTGCCTCCGAGAGATATCCATTGAATTAGTTTTTAATGCAAGGACGTTGCATAAAAAAACAATCTTCGATCAGTAGAAAAAAGTCAAAAGAAACAAATAATAGGCCTCGATATTATCGTAATAAAATCTATATTGTTATAAAACTAGAGATTGCTGTACGAGCCGTGACAGTTTGCTTTTATTTATGGAACACTTTCACGAACAATGCTTCCTAAATTGACTTATCAATTGCATTGTTTTAGTAGAAACATAGTAATTTTACATAATTTCCATTTTTATAACAAAATCCGAGGAAGTACCTAATAAATTATACAGTTAAATATCTTACAAAAAAACAGTTGAATTGAGTTGGAGCTAACTGGCGCCGGATATTTGTCATTTATAATCGAATAATATTTTTAAAAAATAATAATTTAATGATGAAAAATGACTTGAATATGTTGAACAATTTCTTTTATATTTTGTTCTGGTAATTCTAATGTTTTCTGAAGACGTTAAGCTTTGCAAATTGGCTATAATTCTGAAAGCTCGATAGAAATTGTATTATTTTTTAGATTAGAAGAAAACCTCTAACGCAGTTTAAAACCGAAAAAATTCGTAGATTTGCAGGAAAAATCGGGATCATTCGAGCATTTCCTTACCTCATAGCTATGTTTACGCATCGTAGTAGTTTTTATTCTATTTGTGTCAGTTCCAAACATGTACAATATTAAAAAACCATAAGGATTTAAATGTTTCTTCATGGCCGGAGGTTTAAATATAAATATTAGTTATTAAGATGCGGATTTATTAATATTTTATTTATTCTAAAATTGATATCCTAAAGGTTTTTGTCCCGGAGAAACAATTTTAAAATGTGTTTAGAGATGGAATTAGTGGGAAGAGGAAAACCTCCCACCATAATTGCTCTGCGTGCCACATAAAGATTTTCGCAAAATGCAATCTAACCGCAGTTAGTGATGAAACTTGAAATGCATAGTTAAGAAATGAGAACAAAATAATAAAGGATATTTTTTTCTCAGAACTTAAAAGCATTTTTAGTTCAACAACGATTATCTGGCATAATTTCAGTTCCTAAGAGAAGATAGTAACAAAGATAGGGAAGAAGATCAAGAAGCTTACAAGACTATTTTAGTTACAACGAAGAAACTAATTATCTCGATAAATCTTCCTTCTAAATCAATCGTACATTATTACTTATAAATTTAAGAATGATTTAATTATTTATAAATTTATTGATCATCATTTTTTTTAATATTTTCATCAGAATATCATAATAAATTAATGAAGACAGAGTTAACTTGATAATGATGTATTGTTGTTTATAAAATTAATTCGAAGTTAATAATAGAGTTTATATATTTTAATTTGATAAATCACATTAGTTATAATGATTTAATAATGATATAATAAAGAATTTATTGTTGTTTTTAATGATAAACTGAATGAACAAAGTCTCGTTTGAAAGGTATTAAAGGATATAAACATAGAGGAAAGTCATAAAACCATTATTTCTAATAATGATTTTGGAAATTGTATTTAAATATACTTTACTATCCTATTAACAAATAATATAAATTTAAAAACCATTATTCTTTTTTAAATAAGCAAGGGAAAAATCTTGAAATATTCGAAGAAACTATGTATTTTTAATGATATAAATCAATATTGTATTTCGAAAAATGTGGAATTTAAGTTGAAAACATTAATTTTACAATATAAACAATATTTTATGTTTATAATTATATATACTATGCTATTAATTTCATACATATATTTTTCTATACGCTTATAATTAATTTGGTATTCTGTCTGAGAGCATTTACAGAAAATAATTAATTTTATTATTGCTATTATTTATATTAAAAATCAATGAATTAATATTTATTCTTTATATCAATTATTAAGTGACCTTTTATGACTTAAAAGAAGGAAGCTATTAATTCTTCATCAATATCAAAATTAAAATCAGGTAAATTAAGAGAGTATATGGAAGAATTGTGTTATAATCGTTTATTTTAATTATAAACCATTTATAATTAAGAAAAAAAATTATTTAATGAATTACTGTAATTCTTTACATTGTTTTATTCTAACGAAACAATTTGTGGAGTTTAACTTATTGCTTTAATAAAACGTTCAAATAAATCAAAGTTTATTCAAATCAAATCAAAGATCTCTCGTAAATTTATGATATAAATGAGTAAAACAATTGAAAAGTTTACTATTTATTTTTTTTATATGTTAATGTAAATTAAGTTCTTAATATCTATCTAAACATAATCAATATTTATAGATTAGATCGATAAGAAAAATTTTCAACTGTACCATTCTGATACAAAATCGCATACAAGAAATAGAAAAAGTATTCTTGCACTTAAAATATATTTTGAGAATTTATGCTTGTAATTCTAACAGATTCAGGGATAAATCTGTATTGATTGATAAGCTAAGCTTCTCTGGGAAACCAGAATCTATCCTGCGCCCTCAGAAATTTTCGGGTGGTCTGTCCCAGGACTCCATTTCCTCCCATCCAGCCTATTGTGGTCCTAGACGAACCCACGATTAGTATGATTAAAAAAATTCTCTTTAATGCTCCCATAGGATAGAAAGAGTCAAATTAAAAAAAAAGCACACACAAATATTAAGCGATGTTATTTATTAATACTGCATTTTTGCTATTTTATTTTATATATTCTTAATTAACTCTCTCAATAATCGATAAAAGATGATTTATTCACATTAAAATATGTTTTAATTAAATAAATGATAAATGAAACATCGTTATTTATTTGCAAATTTTTCTATATTTTCTCGATGAATGTATAATTAAGAAAATATAGAAATTTTTCATTATTTTCCTTAGTTTAAAAAAGTTGAATCACAATAGTTCTAAGTAAAAATGAAATCATAATCTTTAATGATTCTAATAAAGAAAAATTGTAATAATTTGTTTCTTTTCTTATAATTTAATGACTAAATCTGTGAATAATTAATTATAAACAGGTTTAAAGAGACATATTTTTGAATTAAAGAAGCGATTTTCATTTTAGCGTATGCAAATTAAACAAATATATATATTTTTTTTAGAATTTTAAATCGATTGTTTACGTATATATTTTTATTATTAAAGAATTAGTAAACGTGTAAAGTAAATATTCAGTAATTTTCATTACATAATTCTCACGATAACGATAAAAATTGAGGAGATAAACAACAATAAGTTACGCTTTTTGAATAATATTTTTTTTTTTTTAAAGGCGAGCGTGAAATTTGTTATTCCAAAGCATAAAGAAGGGCGGTGACATCACTTGCATCAGAATATATTTTCTTCTTATCTTCATTCGCAGTATTCGGGGGTTATACAATAATTGATCACGTAATAAAGTTATAATTTTGTTTTTGGAAAAAGCTAACGAGAGAGAGATGAATGAAAAATCGGGAATTATTCTTAATGACCAACAGGTGTAACCGAGCGGGACGGAGAAGAGAATTAATCTTCGTTCTACGTTAACAGGTGTTGTCGAAATCGCTATTTACCATTCGTCTAGTATTTTCATTTAATAATTATGCATAGGTAAGTTCGGGTCAGAGACGTGACCGAAGTTCGGAGACATCTCTGGCAGCGGGCTCGGGTCAGGAAGAGGCAAAAGGGAAAGATAAGATCGCTTTAAATAGAACCACTTCTATATAAACTCGTGACCCTGTCCCTACCGGCGTAGGCGACACCCAAATCCGTGGGAATGCGACCAGACAGACTCGTACCTCTCTAATTGTTTTGTTTTAAGTCTACGGTCGGTTCTTCTACTCGTTTGAAGAGGAAGCAGGGCGAGATGCCCTTCCCCAAAAGGAAACTGTTTTCTAATTCTAGAAACTTAAGCCATCTGGAACTTAAAATGTAAAAGAAAATCCAATTTCTTTTATATTCTAAGATCCAGATGGTTTAGAATGTAAAATTCTAAGAGAAATGAATTCTCTCTCTTATTTTCTACTCATAACTTGATCAGAATATTTTATGCATTTGCTTTACAAATTTAGAATTATTCAAGCATATAATTTAGTTCCGTGTGTCATTTGGTGCAGAAACTTTAGTCTTTTATAATAGTTCAACGTTTATTTTAATTTAGTAGCCAGCATATTTATTATATCGCTCCTATCACGTTGAAAACCGTTATCGAAATGTGTACTTAATGGAGTTCCGATAATACGGAAATTAAGTTCGGAAATCAGTATTAAAATTGTATTCTGGTAGAAAGATCCTAAATTTCTTAAGGGGAAAATAATAAATACTGAAGTTTAAATGGAATTGATGCTTAATTAGAAACGTCAAATGAAAAATCAACTTACTTTAAATGCAGAACAACGACGCTTCTAACTCGAGTAGAAATTTAATGAAGTGGATTAAACAATTTATCTTATCGGAGTATAAAGTATTTAATGCATTTTATACGATAGAGATTACGTCTATGACGAATTCTTTGATAAGTGATATTGGTTACTAAATATTCCGTTATAAATATAACAAAAAGTAGAAATATGTTCGTCTTTAATTACTTTTTGATACTTTAGAACATCCTAACTGCAATGTTAATATTCCCCCCGTGAAAACAAGTTTTAAAAAGACTAAACGACGAAGAAACTCACCTTATGCGGATATGCCACTCGATCGGTGCAGCCTTTAAATCGAAAGCGACACCGATTGTACTTTTCTAGTTGCTAGTTTTGTTCAATGAACTTCACGCTTATTAAAGTCCAAAGATTTAGACTCTGGTCGACTTAGAAACAACACGAAACACTTTATCTCAGCGCGGGATGATGTTTTTAAACGCCTTATATCTTTACGTAGAGTAATCTTCGACAGAGTTATGTGTGGGCCCAGCTCGGCATTTGTAAAGGTAAACCGCTTCCTAGTTATAGAGCGTGAGAAAGGAGGATGCAGATCGTGTTCTCGACACCTTCCGCACTAAAGAGTCAAATCAAAAAAGGTGCTACAACAATTATTCAATTTAGAGTAGTAAAGCGAAGAGAAGGGGTGGTCCCGAGTATTTTCTTTTATCATTTGAACATGAAAAAGAATTATTGTGGCTTTATGATACGTTGTGACATACGAAACCGGTTGTAAGACAGAATATGTATTCCAAGGTATACAGGTGGATTACGGAGGTGTTTAAAGATAGCTAGACATGTGGGAATTCTTGCTAGTGATAATCTTTACCAGTCGAAAAAGATATGCATAAGTCTCAGATTACAAAACTTATATACAATAATCACGAACTATTTAGATACTGTAACATAGGATGTTAGATAATCCATTCGCCTTCGACATCTTCGAGTTCTGAATAAAGCGTGTAATCCACGAATATTTTAAGATTATGTTGATTTATCGAAACATTTATACTGTAAAAAAGTATATTTTTATATCCTTTACATGTTTTATACGCTGGTTCTGAATTTTTTACAAAGTCTCCAAGTATTAATGAATTCAGAACACTTATCGTCTCTAAAATTTTAGTAAGCCTGTTTCTTTAGTTTAAAACATTTCAACTAGATGCAAATTAGTTTCATTGAGAAGATTTCAACATATAAAAGGTTTTTCAATCAAAAACAATAGAAAAGTATCGAATACAATAATAAAACAAACCGTTAAAGGTGCCAGAAGGCGTGATTTAAGGTGCAAACAAAGATTAAGAACGAGAAAGGCGAAGGCGTCGTTCGTCCTACAAATAAACGATTTTTATCTACTTCATGAGACGGTCACGTGTATGAGATAAGACTAATTGGCACGAAGTTCCGAAATGCTGGGATGCGGTTTTTCTTTAATTAAGCCGATGCGACGGCGCGGCTTCTCCACACCCAGACGGGTAGATCCTCACTCTCACCTGCTCGTGTGGGCGGAAAAAATGCCTCTCGGGGTTACATGCCAAAAACGTTGACCCGTCCGTTTAGATCCGACATGATTCATCTGGTTTGGTTTCGACGTGGGTTTTGCTTCCAGAATTATTCATGAGAAAAAAAAGAAGATTGTATTCGAAATTCTTCCATTCCAAGGTATTCGAAAGAAAATTCATGTCTTCTCTCAAAGTTCTAGACATAATTTATTATGACATATGACTTGTATGGTTTTAAATCACGCAGGAATGGAATTTTTATTACTCACAAGTCAATGGAAATATGACTTACTGGAAACAGAGTTTAGGTTTTTGTGGTAAAAAAAATCAATGAAATCTTCTCGATTTTCTTATTTCTGGATATTTCAGGACTTTTATAGAAAAGAGTTTTTAGAAATTATTAAGAAGTATTCATAATTAATTAATTGTGTTCGAATCTGTTTTCGTTTTACGAATTTCATGCTCATCCTTTATGTTACATTTCAATGAGTAGCCACAAAACTATTGGCTTTGTCGGGGAGATAATACGCACATTCAGTAAAGAAGCGTGTGATGCGCCTCTTATCGTGTTTAGGATGGATAAAGGTTGTTGACACGAGGTCGATGCTGCCTTCTGCACTTACATGCTACACTAGGCATATCGCCTCGGTATTTTATCTACCAATAATAACGATAAAAGTTACCATAACGATGTTAGAAAGAAAAATTAGAGCCGTATCTACGTGTATTAACGAAATTAACTTTTGAATTCTTAATTAGAGGAAATTATGCAACTCGAAAGCCTTTCGATAAGACCATACATTTCACTTTTGTCCTTTTCTCCTCATTACGTGACGTAATTTGTTTTCTCGGGATTTGAACTCGGCCTCTTCCTGTAGTCCTTACGATCCATTATCCCTTTCTAGTGGACACTATCAGCAATTATGATCAATTTTTTTACAACCAGCCTCGTAAATTCGCGTTTATAATCCATTTACTGCCTTATTGTCGAGAGAATTGGGAAGTGGCATCACCCGGGGCTTTTTATTTCTTTCGTCGTGTACTAGCATGTCATTGATAACAGGCAATGAAAGAATGAATCTTACCCTTCTATCTTCTCATCTCTACTTAATTATCAAAAGAAGAATAGGAGGTATCGACGTTATTTGTATATGGTACATTTCTAGTTTGTTTAAAGATCTTAATTAAAGTGAAGTCGCGATACTTTACGATGATAAAATTTTCGTGGCATCCAATTAATCTATGAGAACATTTTTTAGTTCGGTTTTTAGTGTAATACTTTTTATATTATAATTTGGGAGTTTAATACTCGTTATTGAGAATTTTTTTTGGATAATAATGATCGATTCGATATCAGATATATAGTTTTTATGCCTCTGCAATCCACAATAGAGATAGGCTAATTGTTATTCTGCTGGCATATATCAGGTCTTAAGTACTTTAGAAATGATTTTATTGGTATTAGATATCATTACAACAAATGTATAGAATAAAATTACGTTTTATATAAAAAGATTAATACGTTTTTATTCTTTAATTGTAGTAAAATTACAATCAACTAGTACAAAATCGTAGCTACATAATCTATGTATGAGTCAGTTCTTTTTTTGTGTGTAAATTTTATCTTATTTTTCAAATTCATTCGAAAGATAAAAATCAGTTCTGTATATAGAGGTTATTGAGCTTAAACTATCATACTTATTTCTACAATATTTACGAATTTCAACAAATAGTTCTATTGAACCTAATGCTAATGAGATGATTAAGCTCGTAAAGTATCATCCATCAGATAATCTCTTCCTCATCTTTCACGCTTCGGAATTCATTTGAACATTAACTTGGTAAAAATAAAATTTATTAAAGATTATCTAATCTCTTTTGTCATTTAATATTTATAGTAAGTGAGTGATTTTACTTTATGATAAAACTTTATTGGACTAGCAACATCGTGCGACTCGCAATGTTTATGCAATTCCATTCTGAATGGATCCCACCGAACAGGAATTTTTGTTGCTACAACAGCGTAATTATCAATCGTATTTAAATTACATAATTAAAGTCAGCAATGCAGAAGACAGGAATAATTATTTTTATAAAAACAGATATAAACTTTCTTAAATGAAATCCAAGAGCAAAAAATTAGAAAAAACAAGAACACGGTCGCTTTGGTCGAGGTATGCAAAACATCAAACTCACCTGAATACAGATAGGGGGTGTTTCCGGAAGAGACGATAGTAATCGAGCGAAAGGGATAGAGTTTTCGATAAAAACGAATGGAATCAATAATATAACTAAGGAACCGTTATATTTTCCTGTAGGCGATGTATTCACTGTGACTAATACTATCAGTCGAGCGAAAAGGGATCAACGACACCTTCATTCTTAAGCATACATTGCATAATTCGCATATTAAAAGTTAATGTAGTTATACTACTCAACATGACACATTTTACTACAATTTTTTACGGCTTTATACAACGAGCCTTTACCTTTTTCTACGTTGAAAGCGATTGGTGGAAGTACATTGTAAATTGGGTGATTTTTTTTTCTGTTGTAAATTAATCAATTTGTATTAAAATGAATGTATGATATGCTAATTATAATTGCTAAAAGCTTTAGTAGCCTTAAATATTTATATGAAGCGTGAAATTATACATAAAATCGAATTGAGTCTACGAGAAAACCATTTCGGACAGTTAACGAGCGATAAAATAGTTAAATATGTAACAAATTGGTGTCAGGAAGAGATTAATGCTAGAGTTAAAAAAAAAAGAAAAGATGTGAGTTTTTAATTTTAGAATCAAGTTTCCGATTTTCCTTCTTCGAATGAAGTCTTTACACAAAGAGTTGTACTGTACATAAAAGCTTAATAATAAAGCATACTTTGTGTGGTATTTTTCGACTTTTCTATTTGCCTTTTAAAATGGAGAAATAAAAAATTCAGGGTCGTAAAAAGTTAAGTAAATTTAAATGACGTATAATAAAAGAATAAAGAGATATGACTCAATATAGTAACTTGAACATTAGTCATTTGAGTAAACACTAAAAAAATAACCTGTTATGAGTAAGGTTTGAATCTATACTTTATGAATTTTAAATCGGTATTTCCTGAATATAAATTGTAATTTATAGATAAGTTTAGAATATTTTTAGATTTATATTTAAAATTCTTTCGAAAAGTTGTAACAATGTATTTAATTATCATGACACACTTTATGGAATTGAGTCTTACTTTTCTATAATTAAAAAAAAAAGACTCAATGATAAGCTTAAAAATCCAGAATTTTGTAATTGTTAAGTAATTAATTTTTGTTAAAAATGTTTATTTTATTTTTATATTTTAATAAATATTTAAACTTCAATTCGTATGAAATCAACGCTAAATACATTTAAACTATTAATTACAAACATTAGATTAGAAATTTTAATTTAAACTTATAAAATTTGACCAAGAAACATTTAATATATCAAACTTTAAAGACGTCACGATACTAATTATTAATTTATATTTTCTCTAGCTTAATGTAAATTTAATAGTTCTATCTATTGTGCTTGACTTAATTTACAAGACTACACCTTTAATAGATCCTAATTTAAAAGGTAGAACATAATTGAAGTGGATACTATAGCTATATGTTCTATGTTTAATAACTGTAGATTTGTAACTTGTCTTACGAGATATTAACTTAGGTTTAAATGGCTTATCTACGAATTTATCATTTCGTTTATATTTATATTAATCGTAATGGAATGGTGCCACAGAGAGCATAAAATTGTTTGACGAATAGATTAATTCGAAATTAAAATGCACCGGGGGTCTTTACACACGAGTTTTGGCACAATTGGGTCGTATGGGTCACGAGCCCAGTGTTGTGAGACCCTATTGATATGTCATATCGGACATTTGCATAACTTGTTCTCTTTCCCGTTACATCGCGTTCCATTCCTTCTTTGTTTTTATTCGGAGGTTAAGGTTGTTGGAGTTTTTCCTCCATTGTTAACCCCGAAAAATTAATTATAGAAATGAATAATTTGTTATTCGACTTCGTTCCGAAGACTCGATCGAATTTGAATTTTGTGCCGAATACCCAATTGAAAGATTAATAAATTCAGTTTTCCTAGTTTAATTGGCTTACTATACAGAGGAAACTTTGTCAGAACTCACTCTAAACTCTGATAGATATCCTCAGAAGTTTTTAGAAGTGTCAATCTTTTATTCTTGATATATATAATTTCGTTAATTCAGCATAGAAATCTAATTAAAATTAACTCTATTGGATGCAGGGTGTGAAGTAATATATATTACAGAATAGGAAGGAAAAGTTCACAGTCCTTAAAAATAGGTGAGGATGTTATTAATGGCACAGGCCGCTTACCTTACAGTTTTTTGGTGGAAACAAAGGCGATAATTGCCCTCGAATGTTAAGTTTAATTGTGTGCGAGTTAATGAGAAGGGGGACAATCTTTTTGGCCCTCATTCGAAAACAGAATGCTTCGCCCAAATTAAAAGTAGGCTACTAACCTTAAACCTAAATATATTTAAGTTATAGGCGATTACTCTGTTCTGTCGCGATATTAACCTAAGTATTATATAATTTAATATTATATCAGTTTCTAAAAAACCTATTTTGTTATATTTAATTCAAAATGTATACTTTATTAATCAAGAAAAAGGTTATAAGTATTAAGTTAATGAGACGTTTAAGTAGGG